CACTTTTTATGTACATGCATATGAAGGCATTTTCTTAGGGTAGTCATTAAAGAGCAAAGCCTATAGGATTCTCAACAAACGCACCATGGTGGTTGGAAAATCAATACATGTAGTGTTTGATGAACTCAATGTCAATCTGGAAGGAATAGAAGATCACACAGAAAAGATGGACAAAATAAAAATAAGTAACAATTAATTTAAGGAAATTAATGACACTAACAAGTAACAACCATGCAGGAGAATATATTTTGCAAATACCTCAAGGTTTACTCTCATATAACTTAGATGAAGAAACAACACAAGATCAAGGAGAAGTAGAAGTTTCAACCTCACGAGTTCTTGAAGCAGTTGAGGTTCCAGCAACACAACTCCCAACAACACAAATCTTAGAAACTGCACAAGATCCATCTTCGATTGCTCACCATCTTGAAGATATATCCAATCAATTATCACTTCCTATCACCATTGAGTTAAACTTTAGATGGTTGTGAGACCATCCACAAGATCAAGTAATCAATAATGTTAGGGACAACATTCGTACGAGATCATCTACTAGGGATACATTCAGATGAGATTATCTACTAGGGATACCTTATTCACTTATTTCTTTTCTCATATCAAACCCATGGATATTGAAGAAGCTCTCAATGACCCAAATTGAAGAGCATATGACCTTAACAAGTTCAAAAGGAATGACATATGTGAGATTACTCCAATGCCAACACATCAAAATGTCACATGTACTGATTGTAGCAAAAATGAGTGATGATGAGTATACGGGTGTGAAATGTCGTCCCCAGGGGATTGGAATTTATGGCACGTAATACGCAATCACAAGCAACTGGGCACTAGCATAAGGAAATCAACAAGAAGCTAAGGAAATAATAACAAGTTTCAAGGATACGGTAACTAAACAAAATAGCACGAACACATATTAACAAGATGTAAACACAAAATAAAGAAATAGGACTCAAACTAGGGAGCATTATCATCTAGATGCTTTAACAACCTATGGGATTAGGGAGAGATCACACAACCAAGGAATTAAGGGGATGCATGTAGAATCCTAGTCTATACGTCACTGACGTGACCAAATTAACAAGGATTATAACAAGGAATCGCCTCACTCTCGTGGTGAATCAACTCCATGTTCTTGAAGAACACAAAGCATCAAAACCCCCCAACTTCCCCCATTTTCATATGAAAATTTGAGTTTATGCAAGGAGTGACTTGGAATCTTTAACCAACTCTCATTGAGGCCAAGAATCCTTCCAAACATGTTCATAAATGTTGTACACCAAGCATTAACAAAATACAAACACAAATTCTTCATAAACTCAAGAACCTTAGGTAGGCAAAAATCCCCTTTATGCAATAATCACAAACTAAGCATCAAGATAGGTAATACAACTCTAACTCAAGTCCAACATACTAACTACTCATGATTTAATAGCATAAAGAACACAAAAACAAAAGTGTAAAACATAAACATTGCAAAGAAAAAGAGATAAGGGAAATAACACTTCTCTAAAGAAATTGATGGTAAATCTTGGAATCCAAGTATTGAATCCTTGAATACAAGCTTGAAATTTGATAAAAAAGAAAAAAAAAAAAAAAAAAAAAAAAAAAAAAAAAAAAAAAAACCTAAATCCACACATAATCTAACACTAAAATATGAAAGGAAAAAGTAGAAAATAGTTAGGGTTCTAATGGGGTTCAAAACAATGTAGAAATGAGCGAAAACTCAGCTAAAAAGGAGCAAAGGTGGGGGGTTTCGACGTGTCGAACATTTACAGTACCCAAACTGATCATTTCTCTCAATTCTCGACGCGTCGAGTGCTTCTCTGCAACGTAACTCCGACTTGTGGGCTGCTTTTGACAACTTTATGCTCATAATTAGGCTTTTATGTCTTTATTCAAGTTTTAGCCCTTCGAATTTTCTTTCCAATGGTGCAAGAATCATTGCATTTGGACATTCATAGTCTGAGATACGGTCCAAAAACCAAACAGTGGTTGGTTTTGGACTGTAAATTTGGAACTTCAACTTCAAGGACGATTTTGACGACTATGGCTTCCTTTTTAGGCTTTGATGTCTGTATATGAATTGTAGATCATTGAGACTTCTTTCCAATGACACAATAATCACTCCATTTCAACACTCCTGGGCTGAGATATAATCAAAATACCAAACAGTGGTCGAAATGAGCGAAAATTGCAATGCATTGATATTTTGCTCCTCTTTTGTTTTGGTTTGCCCAAATGACTAATACCATTAAAAATACCACTCTTAGCCTCCCTTTGAAGTGTTGCATCCATCTCCATAGCTTTCCCTTGGCTCCCATTAACTTCAATGCATCTAAACCGCTCCATTTGACTCTAATATTCACCAAAATGCATGATATTACGCATCTTTGCTTCCAATGCTTTCCAAACCAAACTCCTTGCAAAATAACACAATTTAGTCATAATCTCATGAAATTTAGAATGATCTATAAACAAAATAGCTTAGTAAAAGGAGGAAAAATATAGACAAATAAGCACTTATCATGTACAAAATGGGTATTTCGGAACAAAAACAAATGATGATTATATAATTGTTAGGAATAAGACAAGACCAGTAGCCAAATGCTACTCACAAGAAGAGATAATAGATTTTGACTGAGACCTTTGCACCGGTTGCACATTTGGAAGCCATAAGTATTTTTCTTGCCTATGCAGCTATAAGATCTTTTATGTCTACCAAATTGACATCAAAAAGTGCATTCCTTAATGGACTACTTGAAGAGGAACTGTATTTTAAGTAGCCATTAGGGTTTGAGGTAAAACATGAAGGTGATAGGGTATACAAAATGAAAAAGGGATTGTATGGTTTAAAACCAGCTCTGACAGTTGTTCTTGATTAGTTGTGGTTTTACTAAAGCCTAGTAGCTAGATAAGACTGTGTTTTGAATTCAAGAAGGAGAACATATTTTATTAGTAAAATTTTGCGTTGATGATACTATTTTTTAAAGTACCAATAACACTCTTTGTGAAAAGTTCTCTTAAGCCTATGCATACCAAATTCAAAATGTGTATGATGGGATAATTGAATTAATTTTTGGGACATCAAGTTAAGCAATCAAAATAAGGAATATTCATTAGTCATGCGAAATATACTAGAGGTCTAATCAAGAAATTTGACATGGATGGAATGTTGTCGGTCAAAGTTCCACTAAACACATCTTTTAATGCTGGACATGGATGAAGAAAACAAAGATGTTGATCAAAAGGTATCGGTAGAAGAAATGGCTCTAGAGGGAAGTGGTTGGAAGGAAAGGTAGTGGTAAAAGAGAACCAGAAGGAAAGGTAGTGGTAAAAGAGAACCAGAAGAAGACCTTTTGGAACCAAGTCAACGATACCTTAAAAAGAGTTATTCGACACAATGCAACTTGTTTGATGCCTACAAGTCTACACTCAAGACAAAATTATGATAAGTAAGGATGGCTCTTTTGAACCAAAGTGTGTTTATACACTGATAGGGAAATGGTCTTTACCCTATGGTTCTCAAGGCTACACAAGTAAAGGGATTTGGCAGCGAATATTAGGGGATTGTGGCAGCTTTAGGATGGCTACCACTTGCTGAGTGAAAATGGGCAAATTCAAATTTCAAGTTGGTGCTCACTTCTCATCTTCTATAAAAAGGATGGCCCCAAGCTTAGAAGAAGATGCTGAAAAAAAAAAAAAAAAAAAAAGTCCTCGTGATTAAGTATTGAAAGCTACTGAGATAAAGTTACTACATTGTATTATCTAGTCTGTTAAGCTGAAAGAAGAATCATTATAGATTCTTCCAAAGTCCATCATTTAACTAACACCATCTTTCAGACTAAGGAAGTGGGAAGATCAACCTAGCAAATGACTTGGTGATTGACCCTTCGCTAGTTCTAATCAGGTAGTAAAAGATAAGTTGACAAGGATTTGTGACTATCTCAAGGACTGCCAACTGGAAGAAGCTGCAGGTTTCTATTTCACTTGTATTGTTGTAACACAAAATATATAGTGAAAATCCTTCTTGAAATTTAAGGGAAAGAATTGAGTCTCTAAAAAATCTCTCTTGCACTTTACATTTTATTTATTTGCTTATTCTTTGCAACTTACTCACCCGATACTCCATCAACATAGTCACACGTTAATATTATCAAACATAGCTACATTTTTTTTTTGACAAGCTCAAAAGACTTCCGCTGCAAGCAAATTTATTTTCCTTTCTTTGATTTTGAAATTCAAGCTGACTTAGTACTATTTTAGAAAAGTGTTTAAAAGCCTATTCAATTCCCTCTCCCTTTTAGATTTTTAGCTTAGCTTGCTCGTGACTAACACTATGTAGTTCAATTAATTAAATTTTATTTCAATTATTTACAATTTAAATTTTTAATATTCATTATTTAGTACTATATAAATTTTACATATTTATTTAAAGTCTACATTAAAATTATTATTAAATATAAAGATCAAATTTAAAATTTATAACAAAACATTAAAAGAATTATGCAAGGGAAAAAAAAAAAGAAATAAAAAAGTATTAAGTTAACTAATTAATTAATAGTAGAGTGACTCTCTTGCGAGACCGCCGTCTCACGAATATCTTTATCCATGTACACTTCTTTTTATAAGTAACAACGATAGGACCCGTCTTATAAATCCGTGAGAAGATCTCACACAAGTTTTTGCATATATTACCGGTAAAACCAGTATAAAAATACTATACATTATAATAGTTTCAAAACTATAAAGAGCACTAAATATACTATTATATAGTACCAAATATTTGTTGGGTATAGTTATATACTATTTTACACATCCTATGTGGGAGACAGCAGAGGCACACTAATGCATGAGATAGAATTGAGGTTTTCATGAGATATGAGAGCACTTTCGTTTTTGTGGGGACAAAAGGCTTCTTCCCTCCCGCCGCATGTGCAGTGCTTTTGCCATTAACGCGCTTTTCTGCTCTTTGCTATCCCTATAAATACCCACAAACCCCATGCATTCGTCAAACAAATCAATTCCCATGGCAAAACATAGAGCTCTTAATATACTCTTCTTTCTGTTGCTGGGCGTAGGAATATGCTCGGCAGCAAGAACTCTCCTCAATTATGAGGTTGGACTTGGCGCCCACGTTGGTCTCGGCGGTGGGGTTACCGTTGGTGGCGGCGGTGGTGGTGGAGGTTCCGGTGGAGGTGGCGGATATGGTGCGGTAGGTGGCCATGGTTATGCGGGTGGAGCTGGTAGCGGAGAAGGCGGTGGTGACGGGTATGGTGGTGGTGCTGCTGGTGGTGGAGGTGGTGGAGGTGGTGGGGGAAAGGGAGGTGGTGGTGGTGGAGGAGGTGGCGATGTAGGCGGCCACGGTTCTGGTTATGCGGGTGGAGCTGGTAGTGGGGAAGGCGGCGGTTCCGGGTATGGTGGTGGTGGTGGAGAGCACGGTGGTGCTGGTGGTGGAGGTGGCGGGGGAAGTGGTGGTGGTGGCGGCGGAGGCTATGCTGGTGGGGGTGACCATGGTGCGGGGTCCGGAAGTGGAAGTGGTGAAGGAGGCGGAGCTGGGGGTGGATATGGTGCGGGAGGGGAACACGGCGGTGGGTCCGGTGGTGGTGGAGGCGGGGGTAGTGGCGGCGGCGGCGGTGGCGCTTCAGGTGGAGCACACGGCGGCGGATATGGCGGAGGTGAAGGAGCAGGGGGTGGGTACGGCGGAGGAGGAGCAAGTGGTGGGGGATATGGTGGTGGGGGTGGCAAAGGTGGTGGTGGAGGCGGAGGCTATGCTGGTGGAGGAGCATCAGGTGGCGGATACGGAAGTGGAGGTGGTGAAGGTGGCGGCGCAGGAGGCGGAGCACATGGAGGTGGGTACGCTGGTGGTGGAGGTGGTGGCGGAGGATCAGGCGGAGGCGGCGGGGGAGGTGAACATGGAGGTGGATATGGCGGCGGTGCCGGAGGTGGTGAAGGTGGTGGACATGGTGGGGGCTACGCCCCATGAATATATACCCAAAAGGGGATATGATTACTCTTCTTACATATACACCGGCCGCATATAATTAAAATAAGTAAATGCATGTAAGATATGTGTAAGAAGATGGTTATTATGAAAAGTAATTAATTAAGCAGAAGCATGCAGCAATGCAAGCTAAGGGCTGCACATGCATGCATATATGTATTAATGTTTCTTATACATAATTATCAACTTCAATTAAGATATGGTGTCTGTTATTAACGTTAATTCTGTGTTCAGTCGTTTGAAGATGCTTGGGTAACTATAAAAGTATAAATAGGGTGCCTAACACCACAGGAACCGGTCTAGTCTTGTTGAGCATATAACTATTAATGTGCAATCCAACTATCAGCTTAAACTTTTAGTTGAGATGAAGCACATGCTTCAATTTGGTATAAAGAAGAGCTACGTGTTGCTTGGAATCCATCAAAAGTAACGGTCCGCACAAGTGAGGGGCGTGTTGAGCATATAACTATTAATGTGCAATCCAACTATCAACTTAAATTTTTAGTTGAGATGGAACATATGCTTCAATTGTCCTAGTCTATACCCTCAAATCATCTACTGAGTTCGATTCTTATCAATAGCATAGTTATCTATAGTCTCTCATTCGGGCCTTAGTCTTTGGGCATGTGTCTCGGTCTTTGAGCACATTGTTTGGGCCGCCCAGGTAATAAATCTATTTACCTATTCGGTACCAAATGGATATCAAAAAGTGCATTCGTTAAGGTATACAAAATGAAAAATGGCATTCGTTAAGGTATACAAAATGAAAAATGGATATCAAAAAGTGCATTCGTTAAGGTATACAAAATGAAAAATACTTTGTTTGCTACCAAATGGATATCAAAAAGTGCATTCGTTAAGGTATACAAAATGAAAAACACTTTGTTTGGTTTAAAACAAACACTTAGAGCTTAGGATGACAACTTAGCAATGTTCTTGATTAAGTGACAACTTAGCAATGTTCTTGATTAAGTGTGGTTTTACTAAAGGCCTAGTAGCTAGATAAGCGCAAATTATGCCTGGCATGGTGAACACGGGTCCAACGACACCGTTTTTACGAGAAAAAAAAATTAGTTAATGTGCTGTTAACGGCGCGCGTTTGTTCAGATTATGAATTTTTTGTTATGAGATTATGAATGTACTGTAAATTCATAATCTCATAACAGAAAATTCATAATCGCATAAAAGAAAAACATTTATTAAATTATGAATTTTCTGTTATGAGATTATGAATTTACAGTTATTTAATTATGAATTTTCTATAAATTCATAATCTCATAACAGAAAATTCATAATTTCATAATAGAAAGTTCATAATCGCATACCAGAAAATTCATAATCTTATAATAGAAAATTCATAATTTCATAACAGAAAATTCATAATCTCATAAAAGAAAAATTCATAATTTCATAACTGCACATTCATAAATCCATGTCTGCACATTCATAATTTATGAATGTTGAAGAAACTTGAGCGAAGAGAAAGTGAAATCGCGAAATGTGAAAATGAAGAAGAAAAGTCGCGCAGTTAATTAAGAGAAAAAATAAATAAATAAAATAAAATAACGGTGCACTGTTACTGTTAGGACCGTGTTCACCATGGATGGTGAACACGGTTCCATGGCATAACAATTGCTAGATAAGACTATGTTTTGAATTCAAGGAGAACATATTTTATTAGTAAACTTTTATGTTGATGATATTATTTTTTAAAGTACCAATAACACTTTACGTGAAAAGTTCTCTTTAAGTTTATGCATACCAAATTCAAAATGTATATAATGGGATAGTTGAATTAAATTTTGGGACATCAAGTTAAGCAATCAAAATATAAGGAATATTCATTAGTCATACCAAATATACTAGAGGTTTAATCAAGAAATTTGACATAGATGGGATGTTGTCGGTCAAAGTTCAACTAAACACATCTTCAAGGCTCGACATGGACGAAGAAGGCAAAGATGTTACGTTGATCAAAATGTATCAGTAGAAGAAATGGATTTAGAAGGAAGTGTGACACCTCAAAATTTATCCTAATTCCAAAACCAACTTCTACGAATATTTTTCTTAGAAGATTAATTCTTTGTTGAAGAGCTCAATTCTTCTATTTAAAAATATCCTAACCTAGTATTTACCTTGAGCTTAAATATTTCTATGTCGTGTGTGTGTGTGTGTGTGTGTGTGTGTGTGTGTGTGTGTGTGTGTGTGTGTGTGTGTGTGTGTGTGTGTGTGTGTGTGTGTGTGTGTGTGTGTGTGTGTGCGCGTGTGTGTGTGTGTGTTTGTGTGTGTGTGAGAGAGAGAGAGAGAGAGAGAGAGAGAGTTAATTCCAATAATGGTCATCCGACTATATTGATTTTCCAAAATTAGTCCCTAACTTTTAATTTGGACACTTTAGGTCCCATGATTTTTAATTTCTTTTCAAATGAGGTCCTTTCGTCAAAATACGGTTAATTGGACTTTAAATAAAGTGATAAACTTGTCCTTTCACCTGCCTATGTATTATTCTTCGTATTTCGCTGCTATACCTTGTAAACATCTCAATAATGGAGGAACGCACACACGAGCAGTCAGCAAATGGGGAACGACGAGGAATATTCTAGGACTTCGACTGAGATTATCTTCATATATATCACGTATACAAGGGAGAAATACAAAGAATAATACATAGGCAGGTGAAAGGACGAGTTTACCCCTTCATTTAAAGTCCAATTAACCGTATTCTGACGAAAGGACCTCAATTGGAAAGAAATTGAAAGTCAAGGGACCTAAAGTATCCAAATTAAAAGTAGGGGACTAATTTTGGAAAATCAATATAGTTAGAGGACCTTTGCTGAAATTAACTATATATATATATATATATATATATATATATATATATATATATATATATATATATATATATATATATATATATATATATATATATGGAATGGTTCAGGTGCGGGTATAGCTTCCCGTGCGGTTGTGCGGTTAGATCTGAGCCGTTGATCAAATTTAGATCAACGGCTCAAATCAATGAAAATTTAAAAAAAAAAAAAACGCGTGTTTGGAAGAAAGAAGCATAAGCTAAAAATGGCGCACCTTAAGTGATAGAAACATGCACTTTAAGTACAAAACCCACACACATTAAGCACAACCTCACGCACATTAAGCACAAAACACACGCACTTTAAATATTAACTCACAGACTTTAAGTTTCAACACTATTGACATTAAGCACAAACTCACGCACAATAAGTACAAAATCCACGCACATTAAGCACAACCTCACTCACATTAAGCACAAAACCCACGCACTTTAATTATTAACTCACAGACTTTAAGTTTTAACAACTATTCGCATTAAGCACAACCCCACGCACATTAAGCACAAACCTCATGCACCTTACGCACAAACCTCACACATCTTATATACAAAACTCACGCATATTAATCACAGATCCGCTCACCTTAATTTTGACCTAGATGCAAAAATTACAAAATTGCCACCGCATTTTTTTTTTAATTTTGGTAATCGTGAACATTGATTTAAGCGAGATGAATAGCTCAGATTAAAGCGCACAACCACACCTGGGCACCTTAACCGCACCAGAACATAATTATATATATATATATATATATATATATATATATATATATATATATATATATATATATATATATATATATATATATATAATTGGACCCTAGGTGTGGACTTCATTATATATAATCCTTATATAAAATCTATTTAATTCTTCTAGCCCAAGCCCATATAAATATAATTATATCTATAATAAAAGCCCATTACCCTAGTCTTGGCAAATTATTGTGTGGACAATGGTCCACACAATGTTACGTGGACCACAACAAAATGTACATTATTAATATACTAAATGTACATTATTTTTGCACTAAATGTACATTATACAATATAATATACACTCAGTACAAAAATAATGTACATCTCCTGAATATACTATACATTATTTTTGTATTGAATGTACATTATTTTACAGTATACAAAATATGATCCACACAACTTGTGTAGACCATGGTTCACACAATAATGATTGCCTAGTCTTGCATTCCTTATTATATACACATGAATAAGAATACATATTACTCCTTATCCATACAAGACTTAAAACCTAGATATTTCCTACACACTCTCTCTCTTCCTTGCCTTCTCCTTCACGCATTTTCATCTCTTACCACACAAAAATATCTTCCATTTTCCTACTCAAGAAAACAAGACCAAGATTCCATCTTTCTACTTCACAAAGCTTAGGAGTGATAAGATCAAGCTTTTTACACCTTTTCTATTCAAGATCTCTTCATCTTTTCTAAATTTTTATTATTTTTATATGTTGGGTTTGGGGTTTTAAAGAAGATCAAGTGGATGGTGACATGATAGGATGAGCTAGGAGGAGCTTGGTGTGGTTTGCTAGCTAGAAAGGTAACCCTATGTCCATGAAAACTATTTTAAACTCCATATTATGTATTCTTGACATTCTTGATGAATTTGTGCATAATCTTGTGTTTATGCTTGTGTTTAGAGCTTAAATGTTAGGAGTATACTTGTGTTGATGTGCCATTTCTTCCATTCCATGTTATATTTGTTGTTGTTATGATTATTGTTGAGTTTGGAGTTGAAATATGCATTTTGGAAACTATTCCCGAAACCCTACTGTTTTCTACGGGTTTTTGGCCTTGGAGGGGTGATCAACGGGTATGGCACACCCGTTGAACTCACCCGTGTGAAGGCAAGAGGGGTGTTTGGCAGGGGTGGATGTCCCGCCAAATCCTACCGTGTTGTTCCCACGGGCGTCCCACCAGAACCACCTGCTAGTTCATTGTTGCTTGGCTTCTGGAATTGTTTTGTTGCCTCCCGTGCACTTTTGAGTATTTGTTGATGTTATGTGGGTCTAGAGCGGAGTATTATGAACTTATTGATTAGGATTTGAGTCTCGATTCGTTGTAAAGATCCAATCTTTATATTCGTTGAATTATTGTTGAATTCTATGTTGAGAATCCTTTGTATTTCTTTCGTAAGAACCCTTGTGATTATCCTATTGATGTGCATGCTAGTAATGTTGTTTCCTCGATGCTAGTATGGTCTCTTTTGGTACCCTTTGCTTGATTCTTGGTTGAATTGTTGACTTGAGATTATCTATTCGTTGTAGCCTTTCTTTGGAATCCTTTTGATATTGAGCTATTGCATTGTGATTATCTCTTTCTTG